GCTAACTGCAAACCCTAACCTGCTCTGGATACCATGTTAAATTTGGGAGACAAAATGTAGAGATGAAAATATTACTCCATTGTGTCAAGTTTCTATTACACCAAATGTCCTATATAAGGAGCAAACAGACCAGCACATAAAAGCCCAAAAACTAAAAGTACAATTATACAATACAATATATATCAACAGATCAAATCAAATCCCAAAATCTATCTCAGGAGTAAGGATTGCTCAAGCCCTTATAAGCTCTACTTTTCCCACATTTATAGTCAATGAGGTATTTAAACAAGCATGCAGAGTAATTATAGAGAATCAATCAGACTAAGAATATGGAGAATAAGAAAGAAAAAGCTTATATTATACTTAAGCTACAGCTGGTATCATAAATGTAAAGCAGAATCAAAGTTGGCTAAAATAGAAATGAAATAATCCCATAAAGGGATGTCAAGCCCAGGGCATGTGAATTCAGAAACTATTTATGGTTAATTAGATCAAATTATTAAAATTACTTGAAAGCATTAGCAGTAATAACTGCAAACATGACAATCTACTCGCCGCTACTCATGATAATGCAAGTTCTATCATCTAGAAATTTAAACTTCGCACAATGCCTCTATTACCCTTTTAGTCCAGTAACCGTAATGCCAGGTTTACTGCTTGTATCCATACCTGTTTTGCCTTCTCCAAATTTCCACAAGCTGCGTATGAATGAACAAGGGCCATAAAAACTTGCTTTGTAGGTTGAATTCCAGATTGCTTCATTTCATCACAATACTACGAAAAAATATGGTAATTAGCAACTGAAAATGTCCTACATCGAATCTAAACATCAGAACTTCAGTTAACATAAAATCTCAATTACATCAAGTCATCAAAAGTGGATTGATATAGCTACAAGAATGGATGCAATAAAAAACAATTAATCATTAATCAAATGTTTCTTTTTGGGTGTGAATGCTGGAGCATTTAACAATCAACAATTACTAGAGGTTCACTCATTTCAATCAATCATGATATCTATAATTACTAGAGGATCTCCAACACACACTTCTTACGTCGAGGTATATACATCTCGAGCATAGGACTAGACATTAATGGGTGGTCCAATAGCGATCCAATAACAAGTGGAACAATACACCTAAAAAATAACAAATCTTATTAGGATAGGCTTAAAACCATGGTTCCTATACCATGTTAAGGAGTGAATTTTAAACCAAACTCAACCTTACAAGCCAGTTTTATGAGGCTGAGTTACGCTTAAAGTCTATTTTTCTCTTATGATAAAGTCTAGAAAATGAACCACCAAACCATAATACCCTTTAGCCAATTATCTATCCTTTAAACACTTTTCACCTGCTCATAAAGCCTTCCTTACAAAGCCTAAACACTACCACAACACCTACTGTTCTCTAAGGCATTGACTGAAAGAAAATGAAAAAAAGGCCATGGACCTAGAAATGGAGGAACTAGAAAAGAATAGTACTTAGGAATTGGTTACACTACCAAATGGAAAAAACTAAATAAATAAATAACTGGGATGTAAATGGCTATAGAATATGAAATATAGGGTTCATGATCCATTGAAAGGTAGAAGGCAAGGTTACTAGCTAAGGGATTCCCTCTAACTTATAGAGTGATTAAATGCAAACATCTGCTCTAAGCTGCAAAAATAATAACAGTCAAGGTAATATTATCTCTAGTGGCCTACAAACCTGGTATTTTTCTACCTTAATTCAACAAGTGTACAAAATTTGTCATTTCTAGCAAAAATAAAATCCTTGAAATTGTCTAAAAGAAACTGTTTGAAATATGTCACTTAAGATTGAAACTGTAAAATAATTGTAGGGGGCTTGATTGATCCCTCAAACAATCTTCTATTTATAAGAATAAATTGATACACAAATACATGATAAATAGGGTAACCCTTGACACACTATAATGATGATAAAATAGGATAAATATCCTAACACTCCCCCTCAAACTGGAGCATACAAATTGTATGTACCAAGCTTGGAACAAATAAACTCAATCCGAGGACCCCTTAATGACTTAGTCAATACATCTGCGAGTTGATCGTTTGACCCAATAAACTCAGTACATATTTCTTTGGTCAACAACTTTTCACGAACAAAATGACAATCAATTTCTATATGTTTAGTCCTCTAGTGAAACATTAGATTTGATGCAATGTGGAGAGCAGCTTGATTGTCGCAATACATCTTCATAGAATGGATGTCACAAAATTTAACCTCTTGAAGGAATTGTTTCACCCATATAAGTTCACATGTTAGTGATGTCATTGCCCTATACTCGACTTCCGCGGTTGATCGAGCTACTACATTATGTTTCTTACTTTTCCATGAAATAATGTTTCCTCCCAGAAAAAAACAATATCCTGTAGTAGACCGTCTATCAATAGGTGAACCTGCCCAATATGCATCACAATACCCAGAGACCTGAATGCTTCCTTTATCTTCATATAACAATCCTTGCCGGGAGCCTTCTTTACATACCTTAGAATGTGAATGAGAGCATTCCAATGGTCAACACATGAAGCCTGCATGAATTGACTAACCACTCCAACTGCAAAGGATAGATCTGACCTTGTAATAGTGAGATAAATTAGTTTCCCAACCAGCCTCCTATACCTCTCTGGATAAGAGAATAATTCACCTTCTTATGTCCTTAATTTCTGGTTTGGGTCCATGGGACTGTCTACCGGTCTACAATCAATCATGCTTGTTTCTAGTAATATATCAAGAGCATACTTCCTTTGGGAGATTACAACTCCATCTTTTGATTGCGCTACTTCAATGCCTAAGAAGTATTTGAGACTTCCAAGATCCTTGGTTTGAAAATGTCTACACAAGTACTCTTTTAGTTGAGATATTCCAACAGCATCATTTCCTGTAATGACAATATCATCAACATATACTATTAAGTAAACACATTTCCCGAGAGAAGAATGACAATAAAAAACTGAATGGTCTGCTTCACTGC